CTTCAACAGAACTGACATTGTTCTTAATCAGCTTGAAACAAAGCATCGCAATCTTGAGCTTCAGAACTTTGAACAGGGTTCGTTTTTTTTTTGTGATGTAATGTTTTGGAAATACTTTATAGTAAGGTCCAATTTGTTAGTTAATGCATTAGCTAACATGAAATAATGAATTTTACAGCATTTATCGATCTTGGTGTGTGTGTGTGTTTTTCTAATTATATACTTTTTTTTTAACATTGTATAAATTAACGTTCATTTATTATGAACATGACTTATCAATGAACAGTAGTTAACACTAACCTAAACTTATAAATGCTGTAAAAATTGTTCGGTTAACACTTTAGTATAGGGACTAATTCTCACTATTAACTAGTTGCTTATTAGTATATGCCTATTATTAACACATTAGCTGTTTATTAGTACTTATAAAGCATATATTCTGCATGAACATAATCTACATCCCTAATCCTACCCAATACCTAAACTTAACAACTACCTTATTAACTATTAATAAGCAGCAAATTAAGAGTTTGAGGCAAAAGTCATAGTTAATGGTTTGTTAATAGTGAGAATTGGACCTTAAAATAAAGTGTGACCATTGTTCGTTGTTAGTTAATGTTATTATGCGGCTGTTTGGAATATGCGACTCTGATTGGTCAATCACAGCATTCTGTTGTCTATTGCAACGCTGCAACTAAAACTAGCTCTACATACCACATCACAGATTTGTGCTTTCTTTTTTCACGCAAAATGTGCCTTTTTGCTTGTCCGTTTTCAACTGTAGAGAAAATTACCTCAGAGAACTTTATATTACTGCAATATAATTGCTGTGTCATGTCCATTTATTTATTTCTTTGGTGAATAACCGTGTATTTTTGCCACAACGACTGCCTGACTGTACATCACTCACAAACTGAACCTTATTATAAAGTATTTTTGAATTTTAATTATATAGCAAACTTTAATAGATGTAAAACTAGACAGCTGATGTTTTACTATTCATTCTAGCAAACGCGGTTCAGCAGCTGCAGTAGCCTTTATATGAACATCTAGTTTACTTGTTTCTTTGTACATCTAAACTAAAAACTCCTGTATCACTTGAACCATTTATTTATTTATAGTTAGAAAGGTCTGGAAAAAATACTGCTTTCTCTAAAAACATTGCTGTACAAATCTTTTCTGGAGAGAAACCGTTTGGCTGCAAAATTTCTCCAGTGACTTTTCAGAACTTCAGGGGAAAATCATCAAACCGCTGGAGCAAATCAAGCAAAAGAAACAAGCTGACTTATAATTTTCTGTTCAATGCCCTGACATGACTGACTGCATAGACTAGTTGCACTGAAACTGCTTTTTGTGAATGGGTACAGCAGCACTGCTCTGATTTGAACCGCATGCGTCATTAGTTTTTGAAACTCAACATTAAGACAATAATCTGAAAGGAACTGTTCTGTATCTCCAAGAACATTAACAGCACAATTTCTCTTTTTCACTGTCTTTAAATCAGCTGTGTTGATTTTAGCACATTTTCTCTGTAGACAAAGTACACACAGGACAAATGCAGTATTTTAACTAGTGTGTCTGATATATTTGTTATTTAAAAGTGATTCTTGCATGCAGAAAACTCCGACCTGTGTTTGGTTCAGTGATGATACATAAATAAAAACATTTCACACAACGTTTTATGGGTTTGTGTTTCACATCGGGTCCGTGGAGAGCGATTAGGTCAGCTCAGAGCGACCCCCTCTTAGTGGGACCCAGGGGTTGGGTGTGACCGTTCAGCATTACAGATGTTCCTTTTATGTTCTCCAACGTGTGCTGGTTTATCATGCTGAACTGAAAAGGTCTTTTTCTCCTGAGATTGTCTTTGTCAGTGCTTAATTTATAAATGACTCCATTCAAGTGAGGTCATACGTTAGTGTCATTAGTCAGTACGAGGCTCGACTTTAAGAACAAGCGCCTGTGCTGTGATATATGTCACTGCTGGAGAACAGACCACAGTAAAAGAGCTATAAAAATCAGTAAAGACATTCATAAACCAGACCCAGCCAGAACCGAAACACCAGCTAAACGAGGCCCAAATGTGCGTTTATATGTGATGTAGTTAGCAGGTGGATACGGTTGCATCATATAACTGTCAAACTGTGCCATGGTTTTGCTCTCAGTGTTAAAAAGCTAATTGCTAAGTCAAACATCACTGTTTCTGCTGCTATTTGTTCTAGACCCCTGGCCTGAAGTAGTAAACTTTGTCTCACAACTCGCCTTACCATTGGTGCAAGACATGAATTACTCAAAACACATTAGCAACTGATTAGCAACGCTCTGGCAACCACCCACAATAGCCTAGGACTGTGGTTCTCAACCAGGGGGCCTTAGTAAATTTCCAAGGTGGCCCAAGATGACTTAAAAAGCAATAAAAGGAACCAAAACAATTAAAAATCAATTTTAATTATATTTTAATTTACCCCCTTAAACCAGGATTCCCAGTCTTGGAAAACCTGCATACATGAGGACGCCTATTTTTTTGTAATCATGCCAAGCTCTAAAATATTTGATTGACTAGAAATTGAAAAATTATTAAATCTTATAATTTGTAATCCTTGTCATGCAAGACAACATGTAAATTTATTGGGAAAAGAGTGTGGGATCCCTGAAGAACATTACACATTTAAGCCTTCTGGAATTCTGAAATTGTCATTATTATTTTACTGCCTTGTCCTAATTTACAAAAAGTAGGAGTGCCTATAGATCATGACAGCCTTTTTGTGCAGTCAAACATTACACGCATTTCCTTCCAAAAACATAAAAATTTAGTTCATGTGTCTCTAAAAATATTTTAACTTTCTGCTTCATTTTGAGTGGATCCACTGGTGTTTGGCTGCATGTGGACCATTTCACTTTGGCATTAGCATAAAGTGAAAACATAAAATGTATTTCCTTCATGTGTTTGAATCACAGCCAGTTTATTGTTACAATAACCTTTCAAGATTCCTTCAACTTTAGGAGGGAAGGGAGTCAAACAATTACCTCTTTATGTCTCTATCTACAGAACACTTTTGGATGTAATAGATCAGAAAGTGAATAAATGTGAGAAATGGTATAAATGGTAAAGCGAGTTATGTGACAAAGTTTACTACTTCAGGTCAGGGGTCACACTAAAGGACAGTAATAATTGCATCCGTTGTCTGTATTACATTAGACTGATACTGTATATTTATGCATTGTTTCTTTCTTTGCCACAGTCTTGTGTTTTATTTGTCAGCGTGTGAAAGTGTACAGTATGTTCACAGAGAACAGTCAGTTTGATCTTAAACTATGTTAGTCTAGCCCTGCTGAAAAAAACAGCTTAGGTCTAGGTGCATCCAGCCTGGTCTAGGCTGGTCAGCAGGCTGGTTTTAGAGGGGTTTTGGCTACTTTCTTAGCTGGTCAGTCTGGGAGACCAGCTTAAACCAGCTAAGACCAGCCAACCAGCTTAGGCTGGTTTTAGCAGTTTTTTTTCACAGGGAGGTCAAGCATCAATACTATTGTTTATATTTGGGGTTAGTAATTTGCTCAAAGACATAAACCTATTTGTGCCGAACTTTGGCTCATCTTGTACTGTCTGTGATACAGACAGGAATTATACATTAAATCAATCAAACTTACATCATTCTCATAGCAACAGAGAAAAGGAGGAGGGAAAGTAAGCCTTAACTCTCTCCTGTTCATTCACAGCCTCACATTTAAGTGCAACTCGAAAATGCTTAGCAAAGACATAAACAGTCATTCAGACTAGTCTGCGGATGTGTGCATAAGTAACTGCTGTAAATGGTGAAACACAGCAGCTGCAGGAACTGTCAACACTGACGCACACCAATGACCCACTTCCTGTTTAGAAACATGGACAAACACCATCAAGGCCCAATCGGACATACCAGTGTTTCCACGCCTGTATAGCACTACACTGAGCAGCACAGCTGTGTGAAAATAAACATTCAGTTACAGAATAATGCAGACTGCCAAAGTATGAATGGAGAGACCATGTTCAATCAGTCACTATCAAGGGGCTTCATTACACAGTTTAGTGTAGGTTTAAATCCACATGCACATTTTCTTTCTTTCCCACAGCCCCTGTAATAAGATCCACAAATATATTTTCTGAAGCCCAATTAAGTCTTGACTCATTTTCATTTTCATTGTTCAGGGAGGTGTGTTTTTCTATGCCACTTGAGTGAGACAGAACGAAAGACAGAAAAGAAACGAAGAACGAATATGAGTGCAAGAATCTATAGGTGAGTCCGTGAGAAGATCTGTTGACCCTGCTTTCTAAAGTCAACACCTCTAATGAGAGTCTGAGAGGTTAAGGAGTCTAATGAAGGGTTAATTAGCACTAATTGACATCATTAATCATTACAGCTGTCACAGAAAGAGACATTACCAGTTAGCAGACAGAATGGAAAATATGTAACAAGTGGTAATGTTTTATATTGTCCTTATAGCATATTCAATAATGCAACTAGCAAAAAAGGTCCCCTTTTTATTCATTCTTATCTCTATTCTACGTTGTTTTATTTTTCTGGGCAATAATGTGGAAATGTTCAACACATTTCCTTCACTTACTTATTCTTTTTTTTTTTATGCTAATTTTTTTTTAAATAAATTACTTTTTAAATTCTATTTTATTTATTTTTTACTTTAAAAAATAATCGTACCCGATGGAATATTCTGTTCAAAGTGAGACTAGTGTGTGAAACAGCATGCACAGATGTGCACTCGAGTGGTGAGATCGCACTACTGCATACAATTTTTTTCTCAATTTTCTTTCTCTTAAATTCTCACTCTTGCTCTATCAAAAATAAAACAGGAGTTATTTTTAAGTAACTGTATGTTTTATTGTGTTAATCATTTACAGTCTGATGCAACAATCCACAGAGAAAATACTCAGGGAATAATACAGTGTTCACGTCAACTTTGGCCTTCGACCTTTGACTTGTCCACAAAATGCAACTCACAATTTTCCCCAATGTACAGAAATCCTAATATTTAATGGCACACAAACACAGAGCCTCTTTCACATTGAGACACACATAGCCTACACCCGCTTTTTCTCTTACACTCTCTCAAAAGCTGAGAAGCGTCACAAAGATGAGTTTGAAATGCTGTTTGAATAGTCTTTTAAATTACCCAAATTATTACTTTCGAACTGTGTCTTTAAACATGTATTCAAAAGAAGGGAGAGGATTTCAAAATATACACACAAGAATGTTCTCATATTCTCCTCTATCAAAATGGACACTACACATGTAGGTCAGCTTCATCACAAACCACCACAACACATTAGCTTATCGAGCAATAAATATATGCTGAAAACACCAGATAATCTTGCAGGACAGTTTTAAAACATGGTCTTTTCATTGTATAAAAAAAACGCTCATCAAGACGTTTTAAGTCATGCAAAAATAACCATTAGCCTACAACTTTTAGAAAACTGGTATAAATACTACCAAATGATAATCCACCAGTTTCGCTCAAAACATTCTTACATCCATTTAAAATGAATCCGAATTGATTATTTATTTTACAATGCCACGTTTCTCTCATCCCCGACACAGCAGAAACCATACCCACAGACACCAGAAGAGGGCGCTCAGACCAAGAGACTGTCCTGCGCCAGCACCATCCATTTATATTGCTAACCACCATAGAGTACAAAATACTGTACAAACTTTCAGTTTCTTCTTTTTTTTGTGGCGGTGGATATCACGCTACCACAGTTATAAGTTAGCGACTACGACTAAAGTAGCCTAACTATGGTATTTTGTGCAGAAAAATTACCACGGTAAATTTATAGAGTTTGTCTGACTCGCTCCCATACCGCTTTTGCAACGCAATAAAAAGAGAAATTTGGCATCGAACGTTTGCAAACACGCATTTACCGACAAATTCAACGCTGCTATTTTCAAAAGACAGAAAGAGTCAATGAAAAATAAATGGCCCATTGGCTAGACTCTTTGAATGTGTTAAATGAAATATTCATCTGAATTGTCAGAGTGAGCGCTAAAGACATTTTTCTTGGGTACTTTTGCTTGTTTCTTGTCTTCAAAGAGGGCCTCGGATCTGTGTTTCCTGATTTAACCCATTATCTATCTAGCAACTGCCAGAAATGTAAAGCTCACTGAACCCTTTACGCTTACAAGGTATATAATTAGCCTACCGTCATATAAAATAATCATTTACTTAAACACTCTTACAGTACCTACCTTACCAGATCACGAATGTACAGTTTTTCTGTTTTTTAATCTTTTGTTTGCTTGAAATGTTGTGTTTTAAGTCTTCAAGCAGTGAAAGAAGAGTGATGATGTTCATATAGTGCTGGTGAGTCAAGGGGTCTGTGAGGGTTTCAGGGCCAAAGTGAGAGAAGAATCTAATCTAAAAACACATGTTGCACAAACACCCAGATGAAAACAAAGAAGAGTATGCATGGATTTACTCAATGTCTGTCCACAAGAGCCTATGTTTACGCAGCGCATGCACGACTTTGTGTCTTCAATTTTCGATCAAAGCTTTTCCTGTTACAATTCAAAAGGATTATTTGGACTTTAGGTTTCTGGATAACCATCGGGAGTAATAGATGCTGGCGGGAGCGGGATTGGGGTCGCGGGGGCACTATTGAGTCTTCAGACTGGATGATGAGGACAGATGAGGGCAGAGTATATAGAGACTGATAACAGGCAGTGGAGTGTTGACACAGGGGTAATAAGGAGCAGAACAGGCGATAAACAGTCACTGAATGAGATGCTGTGTGTGAATCTGTCCACCTCCAGTGGTTTTTGCTCTTTCTTTCTGTCTCTCAGTCTGTTTTTTACTCTGTCTCTCATCCCTCGCTACTCTAACGCGCTCCGCGGCGCTCTGGGGGCGGGTCTCCCATCGTGCATTCTGCGATTTCGCCCTTTCCTCACTTCCTTCAGGTGCTTCCACTTTTTAGAGTGCAGCGGGTCATGAACCGGCGCCTCATTGGCTGGATCTGGAGCACTCTTCCCTGATAGGCTGTGCTTGCGTGACCAAATTTGCTCGCAGATCTGGTCGACTGTGTTTAAGTTTGGGTGATCCACCAACTGCATGAAGTCCCTGTACCACGGTTTTTGATTGGTGGACTGCCCATGATTGGTGTGGGAGTGGGCAGGGCTGCGAGGGATAGGAGCTGAAGGGGCGGAGCCAGCCGAAGGCAAAATCTCCAGTGTGATCGCGAGGAGGGTCTGGGTGAATCCATGTTCCATCGCGTGACACTGATACACGCCACCGTCTCTACGCACAGCTCGCCTTATCAACAGGCCTCGCTCAGTCTGCAAAACACGGCCATCTAGACGAACCTGTAATTACACACACACAATAAATGCATCAAGTATGAGTTATAACTACACTGATAAGACAGAAAGTCATTAATTTAAACAAAGACACACATTTATCATCTCTTATCAATGCTGTCTATATCCGTCTTTCCCATAATAACCCCACATATCTGCTCCAGCCTGCTCTCTCCTCTCTCTCACCTCTTCCCGTGGGTTTTCCGGGTGTCTCTGATAGGTCCATGTAATCTGGGCCTGTAGTGATTTCGGGATGCATTCCAGGAAGGAGCTGCTTCCATCCACAGCATACAGCCTCTTCTCCAGGACACGCTGCTTCTGATGGTCTGCAAAACATCGCAGTGTATAAGACATTTAGATAAGGCATTAGACAATCTGGTTACTCAGATTACTCATGTTAGAACTGCATAGGCTCAATAATGTGTATAATGCACTAATATTAATATTCTGGTCAATAGCAATAAGACCATTTTTTAATGTTATATTGACAATCATAGGTGGAAATCCCGGGAGGGTCGGGGGACACAGTACAGGACCCTCCCCCATCTGAGGGTTGCCCCCCCTAAAAATATGATTAAAAACCACGCTGTGTATTGTAAATAACAATATTTTATACTTTAAATAATTGTGTAAGTAGTAAAACAACACAAACAAGGCAAAAATGCGTTTTAGTTTAAGTTTAGGGCTTTGGTCCAAATGCCTGCTTTCCTCTTTTACATCACCTACACACACAAGTCCGGTGAGAGAGAACAAAGTCAATAGTTGTGGAACTCCAGTAAGTAAGGCTGTCAAGGCTATTTTATACACTTAAACATCGGATAAAGTGATTATTTTCTCTTTATTACAGATGATGCCAATGTATTTTTCGATGAGTCGCTATGTTAGCAATAATAACGTTACCTGCTTGACGGAAAGGGTTGCCAGGTTTTCAAAACGAAACCTGCCCAATTGCCACTCAAAAGTAGCCCAAACTAACCGTGTTTCAAGGGGGTCCCCCAGTAAAAATCGCGTTCCGGGGGCTAAAATACAGTTATTGGGCTCGCTTCAACCCACGGCAACAGTGAAAAAGAAGCCCAATTCCACTGGAAAACCGCGGACTTGGCAACACTGTGATGGATAACAAAGACTATAGAATACCCAAGACGTGTCACTTGTATAGTTTTGAATGGGGAAAAATGCAACTCCCAATATGGCCGCTCTATCGAACGAAGCCCCGCCTTCTGAGCAAAAGAGCCAATCGCTAATCGGTAAAGTCAGCGCGTCACTGCAGCTGCTGTTAGAAGTCCCGGTTGCTATAGAAACAGTCATCGCTCTGAGACGTGCGGTCAGGACTGCGCATGCGCACTAGCCTGAAAAATAAGTTTTTTTTGAGCCATTTGAGCAAAATAAACAACATTTATGATACAGTTGTTGTCAGATTTCATTGGTGATTTCAAATATGAAATTTAATCATAAGCTTAGTGAACAGTTTTGGAGAATTTGATGTTTCCCCATTCAAAGAGATTTCAGACTTGTGACCCACCAGTTAAGAACCACTGCTTAAATTCACAGTGGCTACGTTTACATGCACAATTTTTGGTTCAATCGGACTGAATTCATTTCGATTGATGAATCTGAATGTAGTGTTTACATGAACGCTAAATAAAGTGATCGGGTTGATGTTTATATTTCACAAACTTCAAATCGGATTTTTTTTTTACATGCGCACACTGCACAAATACAGAGTTTCTCACTGTTTGCACATAATAATCAGAGGTGGAAAGAGTACGAAAATATTCTACTCGAGTAAAAGTACCATTACATTAATGAAATTTGACTTAAGTACAAGTAAAAGTACCAGTCTAAAAATCTACTCAAGTAAAAGTAAAAAGTAGCTCATTTAAAATTTACT